TGGAGATAGTTTGTCATCCTTTTTATATATTATAGTAAGTAAGATGGAGTTCCATGAGTCTGGGTATGAGACTGCGTTATGTATTGAGTTAAATAGATTCAGTAATTTTATTCTTGCTTGATGAGGAAGTAATTTTAAGAATTTAGTTGGGATATGGTTGGTCACTTCCCAGGGTTGAGTTAGTTTGAGCCCTGTTAATAGAATCTTCTAATTCTTTGATTGTAAATTTTGAGTCCAAGTGTTCATTGTAGGAGGCAGTACTGGATATAAGTGACTGGATTAATTGAATATTTGGAAAGTGCTGATAAAAATTTTTCCATGTGTCAAAATTTATTACTGGGAAATTATCACTGAGATTTACGTTAAAGCAGAATTTTTGTATTGTAGACCAAAAAAAATTACTATCCTTGCTTTTATTAATTAAAGTTGGTTCTAGATTTCCAAAATATTTTTTCTTTTTAGCCTTGCACAAGTTATTAAAGGTGTGTTTAGTCTTCCTTTATTTAGTAAAGTTTAAGTTATTTGAATCTTTCCTAAATAATTTTAAATTGTGTTGCTTTATCACTTTCATATTCTAACAGTCAGTCATACCAAGGTTTTTAAAATCTATTTTGAGTATTAATTACAACACTTTTTATTTGTATATAGTCATTCATTATGTGACCATGAGTTTGTGAATTTCTTAGCTATTAGAATCAGTTATTTTCGGAATATTATTGAATAATTTTTCAATTTTGGCTGAGTATCTTGAAATATTATAGTTTATCTTTTGGTATCTGTTATACAGTCTATTTATTGTTTTCGCAGAAAAAAATAAAAGTTTTGTCACTGTAAGAAAGTGATCAGATGCATCAAAGATAGTTGTAATAAATTCTGTACATACAATAAGGTTGATTGTGTATTTTCCATTGTGTTCTATACAGGTATATTCAGCAGGATAATCAGATTTCATGCATCTGTTTAGGATATACATTTTATGATCAATTATTATTCCTATTAAGTTTATGCCCAGTTTATTGACATGTTTGTCTTTTGATTGTCTGATATTTTGAATTAAGGTATTAGGACCTCTCTACCAGGAGTCCATCATATTATCAATTTGTGAATTGAAGTCCCCCCAATAGGAGGGTATATGGTGTGATATGGTTGCCATAGTTCTATTGTTTTGAAAATTTCTTTTAGTTTTTCTAGGCAATCAGGAGGAATTATTATTATTTTTTATTACATACAATATGTAGACTTTGACATTTTAACTGTATTTTTACGATATAAAAATTACTACAAATTTTAATGAAGTTTTTAGCATGTTTGTATGCACAATTATTTTTTTTAATTTTGTAATTTATTTACAGAAGAGAGTCCTTCTGGAGAATCCGGGCTTCTAAATTCGTTGTATAAACAAAGAATGAAATTGCATATGAAATTATTAAGTCAGTTGAATCCTGAAACTTCACAATCTGTAATTAAAGAAGATAGACCTACATACAGAGAGCAATTTGTTTCTCCAGAAATGTCAATGATGTCTTGTTTCATGTCAAAGGTTTGTCATGTCATGTTTCATTTAAAATTTTATTATGAACTTTTATATTTATAATAATCATATAAAACAATTTTTTAAAATAATTATCATTTAGCCACAATTATCATCAGAATGGAATATATTAGATTATGACTCCAGTGATTCTATACCAAGTGATGATGATGATTTAAAAGATGATGATGGAGTTGATGATGATGTATTTGGAGAAAATCAAATAGATAAAAATACCACAAGTGCTACAATTAAAAAACCAAAAATGTCTGAAACTATAGAACAACTTGATCCATCTTCATATAGTTGGGGTATTCTGAGATATGCAATTGTGAAAATTACATACCATCATCTTCTGAGTTTCTTATGTATTGGAGGAATTGAACAATCTGGTAAAATTTTCTTTTTCTTTTTAAATAAGTATAGGATATATGTATAATAATAATTTTGTTTGTGTTTGTGTGTGTATGTATATATACAGTTTTATTTTACTCTTACATAATTGTAATATTTTATTAATAATGGAAATTTTTTTATTTTAAGAAATGTAAATGTCTAAAAATACATAACTACAGTAGAAAGAAAAACAGTGTAATACTTGAATCAATTTATTTCAGATTAAGCTTTATCAAAATTACTTATCTCATCATTAAATTCTATGAAATCATGGACTGTTTCATTGATTCTTCTTCCTTCTTATGAAGTCATATAATTTACTTAAATGACTATAACAGAAGCTTTATATTTGGGCATTTTTATCCATGTATTTCACATATTTTCAGTTGATCTTTATAACCATTTTCATATTTATAAAGCTAAAATTCACTTACATACATATATATGCTTGAAGCATTAGAAAGGAACTCAAAAGAGTTAAAGTTAAAGGAACAGAATATTTATTTAGATTTATTCCTTTACAGGATTTTCAATTGCATCTTCAGATCAACAATAATTAAAATAAAAGTCAGATTTAGTTTTATTTGTATTTTGTTTTTTATTTTTGTTTCTTAATTTATGCACATACAATATTATTTTGTGTTTATTATAATTTTTGTATATACTCAAATATTATTTATTTAAATATAACTGTTAATTTGTTAAATAAAGTGTACATTTCCCAGACTTCAGTACTGTACACAATTTCATTGAAGGACAGATGTTTTGGAATAGATGACATCTATGTAGAATATACTTTCTGCACTCTACCCCTATGAGTCAAGAAACATCAATATGACTATTAAAAAGTGTTTACTTAATTTCCCTTTTATCAATCATTACACACTAGAGCAGTTTTTCCTGGCCTTCTTGGACTAGTTGGACTAGTAACATACTTTGAATTTAATAGATTCCTGCAACATGCCATAATAAATTTTAAACATTTTTATTTAAAGAGTTGGTATGCTGGCATATGCATATATGCAGGCAACTTTTGTGAGATGGATATGCTGATGATGAAATTTTGCAACAGTTGTCATTTTGGTGAATACTTTCTTCTTTCTTTGGTAGGCCAGTGGTGAAAGATGAAAGATAAATTAAACTTTAAAAAAGAGCTTATTCAAAATTCTAAAAAGTATTTAATATTTCTGCAATACACCTGAGGTACTCTTGCAACATACCTTGTGTGTGTTGCACCATACAGGTTGTAAAACACTTCAGTAGAATAATGCAGTCCTTTGGAACAATGCTGCAATAGTTAGAAGATTCATAATTTGGCCTAGCCAAATTTTAAAAAATTTTGGAGATCTATGAGCAAAATGTAAAGAGAAATTAAATAAAGCACGGGGATTCTATGAATCTGCCCCATTCATGGTAGCTTCTGTACCATTACAGTAGATTATCTTGTTTTTATGCTTACATTCATTAACTTTTATATTCATTGTTACTTTTAATTATATCTTATATATTTTGAAAATTTCTTTTGTTTAATTTTTCAAAAAAACATCATTGTTCAATTTAATCATTTTGTCATCGAATATACAGACCTGAAGATCATCTCCAATTACAGATAAAAAACGTTAATCAAGAAAACGTTTTTTGAATTAAATCTTAATGGAATAAATATAATTTAAGGATTTGATTGAAGTGTTGTACAGTACTGGAATATATGCTATGTTCTACAGTCCTGTAGTAGCACATGGCTTGAATCTAATGATGGCTCATTTCTACTAACTGAAAATGTGTATTTATCCATAATTAAATGCTGGATAATAAAGGTTTTTTTAATTTTTATATTAACTTCATCCATTTGATATTGCATTAGTTTCTTATTTTAATTTTTATTTATTATGTTGATTTGAATTAACTACAAATACATCCATTATTTGTTGGTAGTTTTGATTGATTTATGAAATATATTTTGTTGTAAAATAAAAATTCTGTTTGAACATTTATAAAACTTCTTTAATTATAATAATTGTAACATGCATTTTTAACAATAAATAATGTATTATTTTTTTTTTATAGATTTACCCAGTGTTAGTCCAAAAATTCATTCTGTGTTGAAAGTTATGGAAAAATGGTTACAGGTATTAAAGGCAAATATGGATGCATTTGGCCAACCTCCTCCTAATTACATTCCAGGTTGCTATATTGAAAACATTCCAAAAGGAGGTCCTGCTTTATTGAAATATAAACAGTTACTGGAATTACATAATACTCCATTTCGGTAATATTTTGTTTAAAATTAGAATTTTTGCATAATTAACAATTATATAAATTATTATATTTTTAAAAAATGATGTTTTTTAGTTATTTTTGTTTCCTTTTATCAAAATTTATAAAAAATTATATTGTTTTTTAAAAACTTTTTTCTGATCAGAAAAAATAAGTTCAGAATAATAAATATATTTTGAAATAAATGGAATTTTCTTTATTAAAATTAATAAAATTATTGTAGTCTTCATAAAAAAAGACATAAATACTAAATAATTTCATTTTATTAATTTATTTAAAAGTGTAATATTTATAACTAAAATTGGTTATTTATACATATTTGAAAAATGTCTACAATGCTTTCTTTATGTATTAAAGAAAATTGTTTTCTAAAACACTTAAATTTTGAAAATACAATAAAATTAATACTTATTTTGCAATTTATTAAGATTTGTCTTTTCTTAATCTTACTAATAATAAGTTTATACAGAAAATGAAATGTAAAGATACTAATTTATATACTGTTAGATTAAACATAAAATATATTTAACATTTCATATCTAATCTGTTTAGATTTACACTAAATATACACAAATTGTAAAGTGTTTAACAATGGGTACTAACTACATAAAAAGTAAATTATATAGTTAACTAGCATAAAAGGCAATGTAATTTAACTACTAGTAAACTATGTGGTTACTTTGTTTTTATAAAAGTAGTTGACATGGTTACTTATTAATGTTGTTTATTATATGTAATTTTATATAAAATAAAATGTTTTAAATATATTTATTTTTACATGTATATTTTTATACAGATCACATTCTTCCTCTTTACCAGTAAAAAGATTATGGAATTATTTAGTGCGGCAGGAAAAAGTTCAAGATATTTTTATTCGTTACATATTTCCAAGAAAATTGCCACATCTCCAACACTTGGATGTATGTATTATTATCTTAACATTTATTATTATTTATTAAATACAGTATAGTTTCAATTATCGAAGAAAATTTGGACCAACAGTATTTCAAAATTAAGAACTCAGCTTTACTAAATAAAATTATTGTACAGTTCCAAATATATTAAATTGGTCTTTTTTAAAATAAAATTCCAAGAATTTTTGCATATTTGGTTACATATTTCCAAGAAAATAAAGGAGGTACGGATTGTTTCTGGTGAATATCATTCATCACATCCTTTCCTATTTACTAATCTTTGTCAACTAGTGAGAAACTGATCTTAGTCATCCANGTATAAAATTCTATTATATGTATTCTATTTAGTCTATTTTATTCTATTTTTAATAATTTCTGCTTTCTTACTTAGAAAATACTATGTTGACTCTTAGAGCAATTCTTTATTGAACACAATTTAGAAATTTGTTTAAAAAAAAGGAGTTGTGGTATAATATAATGCATTTTTCTGTTTTTGTAAAATGGATTTTAGACTAAAAGTCACTCATCAGTTGCTCTTACATGTAATGCGTGTAAATTACATAACATATATATATATATTGATAAAACTGCAGTTTAAAACTGCTACAAATAAAATTACATTTTAATATCTAGATGTACCCATAATGTTGTTTATCATCAGTAATACTTAGTTATTTACATACAGGCTGTTATAGATATCTCCCAAGTCCATGAGATGTAATCTTCAAGTCTAAATCTATAATAATTTTTTTTTTAAATTACAAATTTAAAATCCATAAAACTAATATCATACAATGTAGATATACTGTAGCATTCTTATTATCCTGGAACCAAACATGATGATCCTCTTTTTTATTGCAATGTTAAGACCTAAAATTTAATAAACTTCTACCTTCTTTTCAATAAGAAAAGTTTTTGATTCTAAAGGTTTAATATTAAACTAAAATTATTTAATAAAAAATAAGTTAATTCAATTAGAAACTTCAGACTAGGAGGTGTTAAAGAGAATTAAAAGGAATATTTTATTCTTGCAAGCGCTTTCAATGTAAATATGTATGTTGTCCTCAGGCAATTCAAAATTGAAAAGAGAATTAGAACAGAACATTTAAATTTAAGCATTAACAATATTAGCCGTTTTTGGAACATAACTATTAAAGTAAATAAGATTTAAATTTTAGAATTAGAAACATTTAAAATTGGTGCACATGCGTCTTAAAATAAATAAACCCCGATTGGAATGGCTATTAATTAAGATCATTGAAATTAAGAAGCCTTTTTTTTTGTAAATGCAAAAAATTGGCGCACGTGCACCTTAACATGCATAACATAAGAACCAATTAGAATAGCTATTAAGAACAAGTAAATTTTAGACTTTAAATTAAAAACATTTTGTAAACAAGTATAAAATTGGCACGCATGCGCCTTAACAAAGACAGCATAGAAGCCAATCAGAATAGAGCCATAAGTACAAGTTTACATTAAAATTTAAATATAAAATCCATGGGACATAATTTAAAATACATAAAATGCATGTAATATATAAAAAGACGCACGTAAAGAGGCCGACGCGTATGTGCCTTGAACCACATAGGAGGTGCGGGAAATGAGCGTAGAATTATTGTTGATTTTTAAACGCCTGTATAAATTAATCCAGACGTCCGGTAAGTCGAGGGTAGTGCAGTTGCACGGGGAGAGCAGTTTTGTGAGGAGGGCCTCCCAAATATATAGCAAGCTCCCTTCTTCACAGCGTTTGAGTATTGCCACCCGATTCCAAAGTGCTATGTGGTGGTGATGTATCACCAATTTGGAAAGTTTAGTGTCACAATTGCCAAGTGCCATCGAACATTGGTGTTCAGATAGGCAAGCAGCCAGCATTCTGGCAGTCGCTCCTATATAATAGGTGCATAGTGCTGATATTGGATTCTGCAGGGGAATGGAGTATACATCAGATTTTTCCAGGGTGGAAGTAGCATCTCTATCATTACACAAGATTTGTCACAGACATGGTCGTGGGGCAATGGGTAAACAAAAACCATTCTGCCTAAAGATCCGGCATATCCGGGCCGTAAAGCATCCACAGTATGGAATTGAGGGATGGAGCATTGTCCAATCCCTTGGTCTGCGCAATATGGTGGCAGGGAAGAGAGACTGTATAACACTGTTTTTGACATGGATGTATTTGGAAGAACTAAATCCTGCCGCATATACCGCTGTGCAGACAGCCTCCAGTTCAGTACTGATAAAATGTTGTGTCGATGTTAGTAAGAATGCCACATTGATAGTAGTAAGATATTTTAAGATGCATGTGCACCAATTTTAAATGTTTCTAATTCTAAAATTTAAATCTTATTTACTTTAATAGTTATGTTCCAAAAACGGCTAATATTGTTAATGCTTAAATTTAAATGTTCTGTTCTAATTCTCTTTTCAATTTTGAATTGCCTGAGGACAACGTACATATTTACGTTGAAAGCGCTTGCAAGAATAAAATATTCCTTTTAATTCTTTTAACGCCTCCTAGTCTGAAGTTTCTAATTGAATTAACACAACTGTTGGTGTTACATCCAATCTAAGTATTTAATATACCTAAAAAGTAAGTCCTGGAATTTCTGTTTTGTGTTTGAATTAATTACTTTAAGTCTTATTACTTTAAACTCTAACTGTCCAAAACAGTTTCACAACAAAAATTGAACCAGACATTTTGTAAATTTGATAAATTCACTTATTGAGTAAAATATTCCATCTGTATTATCACCATTATTATCCTGATATTCAGATGTGCAGACAGCCTCCAGTTCAGTACTGATAAAATGTTGTGTCGATGTTAGTAAGAATGCCACATTGATGGTAGTAAGATATTTTAAGATGCATGTGCACCAATTTTGCACATCTGAATATCAGGAATTAGTTAAAAAAGCATTTATGATAATGTAAGTATGGCATAGTAATTAAAAAAATTTAACAATAATGCGATGCAAATTATTGATAAACCTAAGAAATAAAAACAAGAAGATAATGAAGTTTATAGAATTCTGATGATAAACATTAGCAATGAAAGTTAATTGGAATATATATGAATAACAACAAGATATTAAGGATAATAAATAGGATAAAAGAAAATAAACCTAATGTCCAATATGATAATTTGTCATACTCCCTACCCAGATTGTCAATGGATAAGAATATCAAGATAATTGGGATAAGGTAGAACTGAAAAAATTATGCTGGAGAAAATATTACCATAGTTGAAAATTATGGATTTATATGAGGAGTCTAAAAATAAGTGATAAACATAAAAGATGCTGTGTCACAATGCTTGAAAATGGTTTACTTCCTTTGCTTGAAATGTAGAAAAGTTTGTGGTTTAGTATTTAATTTTATTAGCATTTATCATTTTTAATTTTCTGTAACATGTTTCTATAATGTGATACTCATTTAATGATTGATTCATTATTATAAATATGCTTCAAAACAAATACATATACAGGTAGCCCTCGGTTTACGACGGTTCAATTTATGCTGATTCACAATAACACCACTGCACAATTCGCAATTTTGCTGTGTAATTTCCCGATTTTCTCTATGCCAGACTGATTTTCATTTCAGTGTTGACGTATTTACCGAGCCGCGACATTGTACATTCGTTAAAACAAAGATTTTTATTGAATATATTTATTTTTTCTGTTTAATATTATTGGGTATGTATATATTTGCATTAAATTAATATTAAAATACTAAACGTTTAGGTACCCACAAGTCAAGTTATCAAACTTAATAGTCCAATAAATGGCGTCCGAATCCATAGCGCCATTGAATTTATCCCATATCAGTTCGTTCAGGAAAACACCTTACGATGCAGTAGCACTTCCACCGATCAAAAACTATCGTTAGTGATACAAATCTACTTCTCGTTGGCCAGACAATATCTATCTCTCCTTAATTTTCCCGCTCAAACTGATCTTACATATGCACTACGGCGACCAGTGGTCGACCAATCAGTGTCTCCGCTCGTCCGTAGCTCTACGTTGGGTTAACATATCCTTTCGACTATGGAAAGTTTGACGGATGAACTTTGTGAGTTAGACAATGATTGGAAGCGAAGTGCGAATGTAAAAAGGAGCATTGTCGCATCCATTCGACCATATTCCGAAATTCTCAATGAAAGTAAACAAAAATGTAAACAATTAAAGATGGATACTTTTTCCGAAAAATGTAAGAGATCCAAAACTAAACTTTTTAATAAAAACATTAACTTTATTTTATGATAAAATACATTTTAAAAATTAAATTTATTTGTACTTTGTATTATATTGCATTAATAAACAAAATTATTTGCATATTTTTCACTTATGTGGAACCTAACCCTATACCTCAGTGTAAATATGGGTTCGTTTTACGCCAATTCGATTTGCGCCGGCTTTTGTAGGAACGGAACTGCGGCGTAAACCGAGGGCTACCTGNAAAACAAAAATGTAAACAATTAAAGATGGATACTTTTTCCGAAAAATGTAAGAGATCCGAAACTAAAATTTTTAATAAAAACATTTAACTTTATTTTATGATAAAATACATTTTAAAAATTAAATTTATTTGTACTTTGTATTATATTGCATTAATAAACAAAATTATTTGCATATTTTTCACTTATGTGGAACCTAACCCTATACCTCAGTGTAAATATGGGTTCGTTTTACGCCAATTCGATTTGCGCCGGCTTTTGTAGGAACGGAACTGCGGCGTAAACCGAGGGCTACCTGTACATATGTGCATGCACACACAATATGTATGTTTTGAAGCATTTGGTTTTTTAATATTGTTATGATGAAAATATAGTGTGTAATTCAGAAAATATAAATTAATTTTACTAAATTTGAAAATTTACATGTTACTTCATTTGAAATTCAAAGTTTAGATAAAGTAATTTACTGAATGATGATATTTTCAAATAGAAGTTTAATATATTGATTTTAATTAAATAATTATTTTTATTTTTATTATATATATAAAAGTGCATTTAAATTAATTTCTAAAATGCTCATTTCTCATTTTAACTTTTTAGGAAATTCCAAGTCAAGAGTTAGATTCTACAGATACTTCAATATCAGATCCTATTAAAATTATACACAAAGATCAAGACAGTATATCTGCCTTCTGCATTAGTAAGGTAAGTTTAAAATTTTCTTTAATTTTAAAATATATCATCTATTTGTAACAATAAACTTATAAAATTTATTACTCTAATATATCTTCATGTGTCTTCTCTTGTACTTCACATCTGTTTTTCTATGTCATAATATTTTTTAAAATTAAAATAGCAATAAAATATATATATAAGTAAGTTTTAAATGATTAACTGTTTCCTATTGTTTATTACATGATATAAGTAATGATACATAGGTAATTCAAAAAGTAAAGGCAATTCAAAAATTTCAGCACCATTACTGCAGGTAGAGATAAACTGGATGTGATACATACATACATAAAAAGACTTTGACTGTACACAAAGTGTTTGGCCGGCAGAAAAGAGGGTAAGAGAAAGGGGGGAAGGAAGGAGGAAGAGAAGATAGACAGTAGAGAAAGGTAGGATCCCTCTGAATGGCATATATATGGCTACAGAACCCTCTGTTTGATGTTCACGTGCAGTTTTTAGGCTGCAAGGCCGTAGTCCCCCCGAAGGGTCTAAAAGAAAACCTGAGTGTAGCGAACACCAATGATTCAGTGCCGCCACAAATAACTAAGTGTTGAAGTTAGTGCCAAGTGGCTTTTAGTAGGAAGACTTATAACTACTGAATGTGATCACAAATCTTAGTATTACTTAACAGCTAGACAGACAGTGTGAAAACAACAAACACAATGACAAACTAGACAAGATGAATGGACCAACAAAAGACAAACGAGCAAGACCCCAATTTCTCCCCCTCCATTTTATTTGATTTTATTTATTTATTTTTTTTATTAACTTACTCACTAATTAAAACTAACCTACCATATCCTAGGACAAACCTAATCAGACGACTAAAGCTAACAAACGCTAATCTAATTTAACCTAACCTATCATAACCTAACTGGAAACCAAGCTGAGTCCCTAATCTAACTTAAAGTAACTGAATTTAGACTGAAAAAGAAGATGGAAAATAAGAATTAAAATTATAAAGTTGAAAGGTAGCTATATACGAAAGTTGAAACAAACAAGGGAAAGCTAATTGCCATCCATGCCACCCAGAGCAAGTGCTCTCAAGAGCCCCACTAAGGGATATGAATGTGAGTAGATGATGGAACATTGTACACATGTGAATGAGTTGGTGCGGGTTGCAAGGCCAGTTGTACCCTTCAAGAATAGCAGCTCTCATTAAACTATCCCTAATGTGATTGTACCTAATGCAACGAAAAACTAAGTGAAGTGGTGTTTGGTCCTCCTGAATACCACAATTGCATTGTGGATTGTCCCCAAGGTTAAATCTATGCAAAAATATTGCTTAAAGTTGCCGTATTCTGTAAGTAGCTAGTTACACCCTCACTCGGGTGTAACTAGGGTAAAAGTGGCAAAGAATTGCAGTAGTGTCAACCTTGGGGATGAAAGTGTAGGTGATCCTACCAGTGGTGTCATGTTCCCAGCTGTCTTGCCAGAGAATGAAGATTTGCTTCTTGACATGATTGTTGATGTACGAGGTAGTTTGGCAAGACAGTCAGCAGTCTTGTTGCTGAGAACCTCCCGCATGACTGGGACCCATTGGAAATCTATTATAATGTTGTTGTCTAAGTGTCTGAGAATGTAGTGTATGAGATGGACAAGTTTTAAGCGGCTATCAGACTTCACAATCCTGTTTAAAGCTGCCCTACTATCAGAATAAATGCGATAGTGTAAGTAGTGTCTTTTGTCCTTCTAATGCCTAATGTGAATTAAGCTCATATAAATAGCTAAAGTTTCCACCTGTGCCATTGAGCAGTGTGTATCTAGATGGAAGCAAGCATTGTGAAGCTCATGGCCTAAGTCAGAATAAACTGATGTGACATATATGAATATGTCAAGCAAGTCTGCTAAGATATCAATCAGCATAATAGTATTATTGTCAAGCCAACTGCTATCTTGGAAGATCGGAATACAGAAGAATATTCTATAATTTACTTTTTTGGGTTGAGGGCATAAAACTTGCAGAAATGCACTGAAGAATGTCAGCAAAGTATGGAAGCATCCGCATTTCTCGGAGAAAAGTTTATTGTTTTATGACAATGTGCAATAATCTTCATACCATCTCCAGAACTGTGCAAACCATTGAAAAGATCAAGTTTGATGTTCTATTCCATTTATCCTCTCTCCCACTGATTACCACTTGTTTGGACACCTAAAAGAAGCATCACATGGTTGCAGATTCAACAGTGATGAAGAGCTAAAAGCAGTAGTGCCTGATTGGCTTCATGTACAGCTGAAAATCTTTTTCTCTGATGGAATCCATAAACTTCTGGGCCATTATCACAATTTGTCACATATAAAAAAAAGCTAATATTGCGAAAGTTCAAACCTATATTGCCTAGGTGCAGTGTCTAGTGCCTTATCCCCTGAGCTATTGTTGTAACAGGGAAAAGTAAAACTTCCAAAGACTTATAAGCTAAGTACTCAATTTTCAGAGGCCTGTTTTGAGAAACTCTTGAGAAGTAGGTCCTATTATTTTGACAAGGAGCTATTTGTTTTTAGGGCTAGTGCTCACCAAGTTTTGTTAGAATCTGAGATCTGAACATCTTGCCTTCCCCTTGTGAGTAGTCACAGGCTGGATAATGGAAAGTACAGGAGATAGGTGTAGAAGAGAGAAAAAGGAGAATTTATTAACATTTCAATGTCATCTGAATCCATCAGGATAGGCAAGCTACTAATGTCTACATCTTCTGTGTCAATCTGACTTGATGTCAAAGGTTGTCTGCTGTGACTGATGTGAATGGCTTGAAATATGATAGTATGCTTGACTGCTTAACACCACACACTTTTTTTTATCATACAGTTCTTTGTAGGCACTCAAAACATCCTGCAAACTTGCCCTAAACCTATGCTTTTTTCAAAATTAAAGTCATATTTTTCTGCAATTATTATAGCACTACCAAATATAGTGAAAATCTTATACAATTTTATATTCCGTTCCTGGACAAGTTCACTTTCAGACCATTTGCTATTGCATTTGTTTCAATTCACATCCTCTTCTTACAACTTATCAGTTTTTTATCTGTTAGTTCTTGATCATGTGATACCAAAACATCTTCAACGTCACTTTTGTTGACTTCAAAAAAACCCAACCACATTAATATATATATATATATTAAGGTATGTGTGTGTTTTACACATTTTGTGAGACCTGAAAGGCCCCTGGGCTAAAATAGTGATTTTATTAATAATGTTAATATTTTGTTATAAAAATATTCTTTCGTTTGGGTGAGAAAAATAACGTTTTTAACGTGGGAAAAATAGATAACAGATGCTACTTCCTTTCACAGAAGTTAGTACATCCTCTGTTTTTCTCTTATCTGCGAATACTCTCGCTTTGATGGGAAATGTTTACCCCTCACATATCCCCCTTTCCATCTGTTCTCACGGAGGAATCTTTGCATGATGATTGGTAGCCGATTGTCACATATAGAGGAAATTTGTCAGAATTTGGGGAGTTCATCGACAGATCTGGAAGTGTCCGGACTCCACACATGTTTTCCTCCTGATGACCAACGCCCTTAGACGAGTCACATAGAGTAATTCCAGAGTTAGCACTTAGAAGTTATACTTTGATTTTGTGCACATATCGATCTCCCATGGAAAGAAGTAAATGAACTTTATCTCCAAAGTGTCCCTTGCCTACAGAGAAGAAGACGAACGACAACTAAAACAGGTTGTATGCTTTGTAACGATATTGTAATCTCTCTCTCGATCTTGTATCAGTTATAATAGGGTCGTATCTCTCTCGATGTGTATCTTAATTGTAGAATTTATATCATCCCTTCATTTGATATTTTGTATTTGTTTTTATTTTCTTATGTTTTATTAAATTTATTATTATTTAATTTATAATTAAAATGTCTCTTCATTTGAGTCCGAATCAGATCTCATACGCGTGTTTGTCCGCGGAATTTAATTGACAAACTGGTGTCAGCCCTGACGAGCATCTGGACTTCACAGTTCAGATCTACTAGCAATTATCGCTCTCCTATAAAAAGTAAGAGAACCGATCTCACGATCGCGTGCCCGTACGTGGCGTAACTTTGTTTACGTCCCCAGCTATCTCACAATTTTCAATTACATATTTTCTTACAATATGGTTTTGTTTTGTTTTTTTTTATCACAGTTAGAACTGATTAACCTTACATCAGGTTCATTTGATCAATTTGATACACCTTGCACATTTTGAATTGTCATTTTGTAATGAAAAATTGTATCCGTTCCTACTTTTCAGCAGCTTTATTTTTCTCTTTCTTGATGGTGACTAATTTTTAAAAATAGAAGAACCTTCAAAGTACATAGTAATTTCTCTTTTATATCATTTTGATATATTGCATCTCCTCCTGCTATATACTAAAAATTTTAAATATTTTTTTGGTAAAAAAAGAAAATGATAATTTTGATATACAGTAGAGCGTTGTTTATCCGAATCGATTGGGGACGGGTTGTTCGGATAACTTATTTTTCGGATAACCGGTTATGTACGAAAAAATACATTAACCTATCCCATCCTGAAATTTTTCTCTGTTGTGTGTCGCTTTGCGTTGAATTTTCATCGATGTTAAGCCTAACGTAAAATTTTAAAATAATCGTGGCTATTGTATTGTTAAAAATTATTTCTTTATTTTGTACAAACAAAATAAATATGTTGAAAAATATAAAAGCAATAAAAAATTATACTTCAGAAGTTAATTTAGTATCAAAAACGTAAAATATTTGAGTAGCCCAAGACATAGCCAAAGATTGCAGCGCCACAGCACTAGCGAAAATTTAAATTTGCCAACTGGAATTCTTTCGGATAACCGACTTTCGGATAAACGACGCTCTACTGTATTGTGAAATCTTTATGGTTTTATTTTGTACTTGACAGAAAGATAACTGTGCTTGTTGGCTTCTGTTTTATTATAAATGATGTAAATTTTATTAATAATATGTTTATTTAACTCACATACAGTATAAGTAATCATGACTAACAGATATGTTTTTTTTTTATAATTTTGAAAAAATTTAATTTTTACATGATTCTTAATATTAAATATACACTTATTATTATTATTTTTTAGTATAAACCTTGGATAATAGCACTTTCCACACCAAAAGAAATTCAAGAACTCGATATTTCTGTGTTACTGGAACCATCTCCTTGGTTAGAAGATGAAGCAGAATATGATATTTTAAATATTTCACAGTAAGTTTACATTAATTAATTTATTTGTTAATATCAATGGTTATTTATATCAAAGCTTTACAATGAATTGTTATGCTGATTTTGATGTAATGAACCACTGATATGAATAGTATGAGTTCCTGATTAATACTTAATACAAAATAATGTCAATATGACAATGTTTAGGTTTGATAAAACAATTACAGTAATCACAAAGTACTCCAGTATGATATCATAAAATCTCAACAAATAAACTTATTATAAATTCGAAAAACAATATTATCCATACATACTTCAAGACAAACTTTATAAAATATATAAAAATTATTTACAACTACAAGTGTATACTGTATAAGTTTGCTTCATTACACCATTCAGGGTTAATACAATGCTTTACACAAACACACACACACAGACAGACAGAGAGAATTATTCTAGATTATCAGACAAATTAATGTCTTATTTATATTTTTTAGAAAATATAACAGACAGCAAATAAACAGTACAGAAAGAGATTTGCTATAAACATATCAAATCTAAAGCAACAACAAAGTTTATGTAATAATAGAAATATACACTTCCAATCATAAAATAATGTAAAAGCGGCTTTGTGTTTTAAAACTTGTTTGAAACAATTTATAAATGAATTAAGTTTATCTTTCTTTATTTTTATTAATGATAATTTTGAAATGTCTAATTATTTAAGATTAATTTAAAAATTTGGTATTTATGGTTATAATAAAACAGATTTATAAATATAATCTTGTATTTATCGTCAGCATCTTTTTTAAAATATATCTTCAACATAATTTTCTTAGATCAGCAGAATCCCTTCCACCTTCTGATTATTTAGTTGTCCATCATCCTGCAGATAAATTATCCTCTGGACATGGACAAGGTTCAGTTGGAGGGTCATCTTACAATAGTCCTACTGGCCCTGCTCCATCTCCATTTGGTCCTCAGACAGGAAGACCCACAACAATGGTAATTACTTTGTTCTGTATACATCAGTTTTAGATATTATTTATTCTATTATATTACTGTTTTATATATAGAGATTTGTGGATTTATTTCATGAAAAAAGTAAATGATGTAATAGAATATTCATCTTATTAATATTATTGCATATATACAGTATTTATATAAAAAGGATTTCTCAATTTGTTACTCTGTTATCACCATTTCTTGCATAAGTAAATCTAATTAATACATTATTCCTTACTATAATTAATGTAATTGTCATTTATTTTTGATACATATATGATGAGTTAAATATCTGATGTACCGATTTATTACAATGCTACACTTTAGATCATAAACTTGAACTTTAGTTCTCAAAATATGCAAATATTTATTATTTTGTAAAATTTTTAAAATAGATATATATATACTTTCAAGACCTTTTTAATATTTGAGTCTGTTAGAGCCCTTCAAAGTTTTATTTTTTAATGGATGGTTTTAATATCCATTTAATATATATAAATGTAGTACAGTAGATCGTCGTTTATCCGAATCAATTGGGGACTGGGGTTGTTCGGATAAGTTATTTTTCGGATAACTGATTATGTATGAAAAAATATATTAACCTATCCCATCCTGAAATTTTTCTCTGTTTTGTGTCGCTTTGCATTGAATTTTTGTCGATGTTAAGCCTAACGTAAACTTTTTAAAATAATAATCGTGGCTATTGTATTGTTAAAAATTATTTCTTTATTTTTACAAAGAAAATAAATATATTGAAAAATATAAAAACACTAAAAAATTATATTTCAGAAGTTAATTTAGTATAAAAAACGTAAAATATTTGAGTAGCCCAAGACATAGCCAAAGATTGCAGCGTCACAGCACTAGCGAAAATTTAAATTTGCCAACTGGAATTCTTTCGGATAACCGACTTTCGGATAAACGACGCTCTACTGTATATACAAATCAAACTTATGTATATCATATATATATATATAGATGATATATGATTATCATCTATGTGTGTCTGTATTCAATTTTTCAGAGCATTTATACAGTAGACTCTCAGTTAATCAACACCCATGGGAATTGGTAGATCCAGATAAATGTATTTTCAGGTTGCTTGAGAGAAACTATTAAAAATAGGCCCAACTAATATTGCATACCATAGCATACCATAAACTTTGTATTGACTTGATATTAATATTGAAATATGGTAATTAAAAGCAAATCAAGGCAAATAAAGACAAACTTAATTTAACACAGTTTTGTTATAAACCAGTTTTTTTTATTATTTTATTCATATTTCACAAGATAAGAATGAATAAATAATGATTTGTGATGTAGATACTTTTGGTTTTTATTGGGTATAATAATTTTATATTTTCATTATATTCATCTATACCTTTCATATATGCCTTTATAAATTTAAGCCATTTTGATTATAATTAACAAAGATATTTAATTACAGATTAACAACATAATTGTTTTATCCTTTAGAGAATATTTTTCAGAGTGAGATGATTATCTATTACATATTTTTATTGCTTGTTTGTTTTTAAGTTGCACTTCCAAGTATAGTTTGAAGAGATTTGTTTTTTAGAGTTTTAAATACTGTAACTTTGAATATTAGGGTGGCTATAGCTGAGATTATAGAAAAATCAGTTGCAAAATTGTAAGAACTATTAGATATCAATTTCTTAAAAACTATGCTACTTTTTTGACCAAAAACATTGACTAATAATAATAACAATAAAAACATATACATGGCACTACAGAAAGCCACAATATTGAAAATGTTACATTTTTAAGAAGTTTCTTGACAATGACACACACACTAACACAGAAGCTTAATGTTACACTTGTTTGGGTAGTTATGCCTTGATTTTAGTCCAGCATAGAACTTGGCACCAGTATCAGCTGAGCATGATATTTGCAACATAATAATAATATGTTTGTTGTACAAAAGGAAACCATTGATCATAAAACTATTCTTTAGATCTTCCTGAAAAAAAGAGAAGAAAAAATGTAGTATAATACACAGAACAAAACACATAATAATAAAATTCAACATTAAATCAAATAATAATAATTTAATTGAACAAAAGACTTAAATCATGCATATACTTAAGTAAATTTTTATAATGCCAAGAATCTTCAATTGTTTTAAATTCTTCTTTCTGTATGTTCCACATGTAGATTGATGAATAAATAATCGATCTCTGATCAATACAGAATTTACATTGTAACAAAGATTATTATTATCATGGAAATTAGATTTACCCATTCCACCTGTTTCTTTATATGTTTTAAAATATTTATCAAAACTACCTTTTCTTGAATACAAATACAGTGGGTGATCAGTTAACAAACATAATCCGTTCCAAGACTTTGTTCATTAACCGATTATCGATTTACCATAGGTTTTTATGAGAATTTGATTAATTCGTTCTGGAGACCCCAAAAAAAAAATATATACTTTCTTACTACATTTATTTATATGTAATAATAAAAATACATATATATGCAGTCTTGCTTTTTTATTAGTCATGTTTTTAGTCATGTGGGGGGTTAAAGAATCTGTCCAATGTCGATTGCTTTTCTCTCTTCTTGAAGATTTTTCAGAAGTAATTAATAGCATTGTAATTGTAGATATCCCTAAGCCTATTAACCTCAACCTGGTTTGGATGACATTCTAAGACTGTCGTTCTGACATCATCCCGCTTCTTCAAAAAAATGTTTAATAGCAAATATCAACATTAATTCTCTTTTTCAGAAGAAAACATATCTCGCCAAGTTTCTTCATTCAAGAGTTCTTGGCGTTCTTCTGTCGTCAGATCAGTTTCAGGTTCCATTATGAGCTCTTCAATGTTCTTTATTTCTCAAATGTGATTTTTGTTACTCCTTTAGCTGCTTGAGTCTTCTTGATAATACAGTATCTTTCTTAGATAAGATTGAACTGTGGCCTACTGTAGACCTGTTCAAGTCATACTGCCCAGAAACAACAGACATCTGCCCACTCTCTACCTGTGATATTATACTCTCACCTTTCGAAAATAAAAACCGACACAAAACTTAATGAGTGTCCACCCGACAGTCTCACAAATACTATAAAAAAGTTGTTTCTGTCAGAAAAATAAAAGGCTGGAATTACAAGGGAGAGTTTCAAAGTTTGGAAGAATACTATCCAATCAGCATATACCGGGTTGAGCATTAATGTCGACATCTCTCATGCTCCAAAAAGTTTCCAATTGTTGTCTGAAAACAAGGGAAGACCAATCGGTATTCATTATTTTACGTTGCTTCTTCTTGTGTTAGTTCTATGAGGTGTTTGTTGTTCGAACATAAAAATCTTTTGTGAAAGTGTTTGTTATCCAATTTGTTCTTTAACCGATCACCCACTGTATTTCTGACACATTAATAACAAAGATTTTATGTATAAATTATTACAGTATTTATTCCAGAACAAACAAATTTATCAGCAGAGGCACTATGATCATGCTGTAAATATGAAAATGCTGTCAATGTATGAAAAAATTTTTTATGTATTCTATAAGCCATATCTAAACTGCATTTGAGTGCATTACTCCAAACCAATATAGAATCCTCAATTCAATTAACTGTTTATACAGATACAGAACATATACATTTTTATTATTGAAATATCTATTGTTGTTAATGATCCAATAGTTCTTGCAATTTCACTTGAAATTGTCTCACAATGATTTTTTTAGTTCAAATTTTTATCAAAAATAGCATCAGATATCTAATAATCTTTCCAATAATTGATTATCAATCCCAGAAGAATCATAAATTCTGAAGATTTTATTTTTTTTTTTTAAATATTACATAACTAGATTTATTAACATTAATAAATAACTTTATTTGATCTAATTAAATTCAAAGAATTTAGAGCCTAATGTTAAGCTCTGCTATAGCATCTCTAACAGTAGCAGTATCATAGTTACAGTATCATCTGTAAAATAGTTAGTATATACTGTATGTAGTCATATTGTAATCCATTTTATATAAATATTGAGAAACACAGAAATTTGTTTAAAAAAAATCAGAGTAACTTTTGTTTCAAAAATAACAATAAACCTTTAATATGTTTTAGTCTTGCTGTTACTACTTTTAGTAATTGTCAAAAAAGCTATCTGGTTTGAGTTGATATTATTAAGAACTTAACTCTTTTGAGATTATTTCAGTATAATCTGATTTAATCTGTCCATCTTTTTCTTCTAAATTTTTTGTTTATAAAATTGATGTTTCTAATTCATTATTTTATATTACATGATCAAAATATGAGAGCTTTTGTTTGCAGTAATTAGTCTAGCAAAGATAGATTTGTTGTTGCAACCTGTCATTTTAAACTTAAACTTACTTTCATGTTTATAGTTCATTTCTCCTCTGACTTTATTATAAATACTAATTATCTTGATAGTTGGTGTTTATATTAGTGTTTAACAGAAATATAATTTATCTAAAGTAATTCATTCCTTCATACTTTCAATATATTCATTATCATAACTTTTAACATGTATAATGTATCTTTTCCTGTTCATTTTGTTCAATTTTGCAGATATTAATTTTTATTTGATTATTTCAGACTATTCATTCTTGTGAAAATATTTAAATTTTAAGATCAGATTTAATTATCTTTTCTGAAGAAATGAAACTAGTTACGCTGTTATATTTTAATGATAGGTAGATAGATATTATTATGATGAAAACTAAATTATTTATTTGTGTGTTTTATGCTATGCAATTATTGATTAGATATTCTAAAATATTTAAAAGAATTACATAAAATACTATATTATATTTCAATATAATGAAAATAAATTTATTTTGAGGAGTTGTTAATAAATTTATCATCATTATCACATTTTAATCATAAATTTCATATTTTGATTGTGATTTTGGAGTGAATGTTGCACATTTCATTAACCTGAAGCCATTTCTGCTTTCTTTATTAAAGGGGAAAAAAGAAAATTCTCTATATTGTAATTTTCTCAGAACTTTGCAAGTATTCTATGCTAACACAAGTCATTTATCTTATATAGATTACCAAACATAATTGAAACAACAAGTATTTTTGAAACTACTTCAGATAAACTGTAGTAAAAATTGATAAATGAATTTGAAAAATTATTCCAACAGTAGAAGCATTGCTGGGAGAAGTGTGTGAACTCAGAATGGGACTATTTTGAAGGGGACTAGTGTTTGAACCAAATAAATATGCAGGCATTTTTTCTGACCTCAGGTCAGATACTTTTTGATCAGAACATTTTAATTATGAACATGAAGCATTTTAATAAAAATTATCATTCATCATAAATTGAAATTACTAAATATACGACATTATAAAATATAGATTAAATAAATATATACTAAATTATATATTTTAAAATAAAATATCAAGAAATTCCTAACCATAAATATCAATTACTTCAATTATGTGATTAATGTATTTGGATAATGATATCAATAATAATCAATCAATAAAAAACAATAATAATTAAAATAGAAAAGTTTAAAACTGAAATTTTTAGTTTTAATAAAAGGAAAATTAAGTAAAAAAAATTATTTTAATTATTTTTTAAATATAAATAAAACAACAAAAACAAGTTTATTATTATTAAGCAGTGCAAACAAATGTTATGAAGTTCTCTCTTTAAAAATCAAAGAAACAACTTAATTAGTTTTTTGGTAGAAAGTTTGCTTATGTATGTTAATAAAAAATAAATGTAATACTAATTTATTCTAATAATTCTGTTGCAAAAAATTTTTTAGTTTATTTGAAGATAATAAATTTTACATTAATGTGATTTTATTTTAATGGATAGGAAAATCGAATTCTACCTTTCACTTGCAAAAAAATTAACTCATATTGGAAGACTGTGCATTCATAAAACATATATACCAGGTTGTTCAATAAGTTTGTTGTTCAATAAGAAAAACACGATTTTATTGTTTGAAATACATTTTATTATTCAATATAATCTCCCTGAACTTCAATACACTTGTTCCAGTGATCTTCTAATTTATGGATTCCATCCCTGAAGTGAGAATCTGGAAGCCTGTCGAAATACGCTTCCATGGCTGCTATTACCTCTTTGTTTGATGAAAATCATTTCCCACACACAAATTTTTTGAGATGTGAGAACAGCCAGAAGTCAGAGGGAGCTAAATCTGGCAAATAGGGTGGATGTTGCAACAATTCATATTTTAATTCACCAATTTTTGCGATGGTTTTTGAGCTGTGTGAGAGGGTGCATTGTCTTGATAAAAAATGATTTTTTTCTTCTGTAAACCAGATCTTTTCTCACAAATTTATACATCCAGCTGGTCCAAAAGGTTACAATAATAATCTGAGTTTATTGTTTTACCAGTTTGGAGGTAATCCATGAACAAAATTCCTTTTGCATCCAAAAAAAACTGATGCTAACACTGTCTTGGCCGATTTCTGCATCCTAACTTGCTTTGGAGCCAAAGTACCAGATTCACACCACTCCTTAGCCTCTTGTTTTGATTCAGGATCATAGTGGTAGACCAAAGTCTCATCCATAGTGATGAAACAACGCACAAAATCCTTTTTATGCTTTCTAAAATGCTCCAGATGTTGCTGAGAAAGTTGCATTTGAATGTGTTTTTGTTCCATTGTTAGCAAATGTGGCACCCATTGTGCACACAGCTTTCTGTAACCCAAAACTTCAGCCAAAATATTGCTCACACTGTCTAATGAGATTCCTAAGGCTTCTACTAAATCTCTCTCAGTTAATCAACGATCTTCCAAACCATATGCTGTATTTTTGCTATGATTTTTGGTGTTGATGCACTTTTTGGACGTCCTTCATGTGGATCATCTTCAAGACTTGTATGACTACGTTTAAATTCAGCAACCCATCTTTCTACTGTTCTAATTGAAGGTGAATAGCCCTTATACACTTTTAACAATTGTTCATGAAATTGTTTTGACCTTCCAAAAATAAGAATTTTATCACTGCACGATATTCAATTTTTTCCATTGTAAAAAAATACAGTGACACATCAACTTTGAATAGCTGTAAATATATGAATGAGTTGACACATCTACATCGAAACTTCACACTTTGTAAGGAACCCAGTCTGAGCTTTATTTTTATTTTACTTTTATTTTGCTTTCATTATATTTTGTTTGGGGCTTATGTTTATTTAAGACGAAGGTTTCCTCACCATTCACCTTAGTAACTTAAAAATAGAAGAAAAACCAACTCACCGACGAAAGAAAAGCGCCGTAGAAAAACTCGCGCACACTTGCGCTTCCCAAGCGGAAAAAAGTAAGTCCGCACCGAGAAAAAGGGGGGG